GGGTGCGTGCGTGCGTGCGTGCGTCAGGTACATACATGTAAACAGACATCGTGCATCTATCCTCCTGCTACAGGAACCGTGGGCACAACCAAGGGCCAAGCCCGAAGCACATGAGTACAAGCCTTGAACTACATGAGTACACCACAGGGGCCCGGCATGCACTTAAAGGTGGAAGATCACACAGCTGAAATACCCTTCTGTAACGCAGGCACAACAGTATCTGAGCCCCACATTGAAAGAATGGTTTAGCCGCCCTGTATCACCTTTTCTTGCTTTTCCAAGAATAAGAAAATAAAATTGTGCAGGGTCGAGCCACTTAATAATGCCGAGACCCCTCGAAACGTCAAGTTCTTCAAGTTCTAAAACTCTTAAACATAAACATAACCCTGCCTTCTCCCGTGTTTCATCCATATCCAGTGCCCAGACCCTCTTACTTCGCGCGTGCTTGGATCGCCTGTGCTTCAATGGGGTTTGTGCTCGAATCTTTCAGCTCAAATATGCTTGAACAGTGAACGTGTCCTTGGTGACGGCATCTGCCGGGCTGCCTTAGCAAAGCGCCATGTCTCAGACAGGCACGGCACTGGTGATGCTTCATGACGTCTTCTCGGCCGAGATCGCGACCAGGCTCCATTTCTAAGAAAGATCGTGGCACCCAACCTTCAGAAAACCCGTCCTGGCCAGACAACATTTGCAAAGGTCAGAGGGTTGAACCCTGAAAAAGCCGTTCTGCAGGGACAGATGTGCCGGACTGTCGCAATTTTATTCACAACATCTATTTGCTCCTCGGCTCTGCACCAGATCCAGTCCGCGTTGTCCTCAAGATGCTTTCACTGTGAGGCCTATTGAGCTGTTGGAGGAGCACGTCGTCAGCGAACACTAAAGTATAGGGAAGAGACTGCATCTATGACGAGGACACGTGCGCCCTGAGCCACGCTGAGCTCGTGCTCACTGTTTCCAACGACCTCAACAGCGCGCATCCATGATCAAAACTGCGAAATGCAGTGACGTACCCACCTCACAGCTAGCAGTGGCATACTTGCCCGCTGCGTTTTGTGAGAGACCGTGCTGCGACCTCATCCAACGACATCCAAGGTACCATTCGTCCGACCGCAGAACTGAGCTCTCTGCAAGGCATCGGTAATCTGCTGCAACTCGGTTCCGAGATACAAGCCTGGGAGCCAAGCATGCCGCTCTATGACAGAAAAAAGGGTTGATTCGTCCTCATAGGCCCCCCGAGTAGAAAAGCTTGAAGGAGGGTTTTGCATCAGGTCAGCCATGGCACAGAACTGCATGCACTTCTCCATCCACTCGGGATCAGCACTGCGATCTTCTGGCTTGGCCTGCACGTGAGCTGTCATGGTTGCTGTGTCTCGGCCAAAGCCTGGGCTTGGGCTTGGCCTACAGAAACCCTCAGCCAACTCAGCCGGCCGAAGACATAGCGTCTCCGCAACTGAGAAACGCGACGGCACCTCATCCCCGACCTGCAAAGGTGTCTTCCTGAAAGAACTCCAACTCTGTGTTGCGTGCAGCCGAAAGCTGCAGGCCAAGGACAACCCGTCAGATTCGGCAGTTGTCGGGCTCAGTTCAGGCCGAGAGCAACTCAAGAGCCGATGGCCGATGAGCTCTCGAACGACATTCCGCACCCAGCCAAGGTGAATGATTTTCAAGTCCACCCAATGTTTCAGGATGGGCCAAGGCCATGTCGGCACACAAGAAGCGAAGCTTGCCGACAACCCCCCAGACTGAATCTAGCACGCGTTTGCGATGTTGGCCACGAGGTTTTCTGGAACAGACGCTTTGCAGAATGCGTGTTGAAGGTCTTGTGCCGGGCATATGTAGGCATGTCGCAAATATTTGGAAAGGCTGGCCGGGGTGATGAATTTGGCCATGCGCCCAGATTTGGGCTTGAATGGACGAAACCAAGAACTGTAGCGATGGTTTTGCATGGCTGGGTTGGAATCAAGATTCCCGAGGTCGAACTCTGGAGTTCGAAGTTTCGAAATTGATATTCTTCGGGGAAGTGCGCATTCCGGAAACTTATTTGTTTGGCCTGCATCCTTCTGATTCTAGCTACCCGACTTGCCCTCGATTGAGTTTGTATTTTTCCAATTGTCTGGTGGGAGCTTTCGTCCTTTGCTCCTTCGGTTGGACAAGGTGAAAACTCGCTGCTAAGCGCTTCGCAGTTACTCCCCATTGCCTGTGCGAGGTATGTCTCCAGCTGCACTGCATACGCCACCACCTGCCACAGCAAGGGCAGTCAGAGTGATGTGACAGCCCATGCTTGCAAAAGGCGTGCTCTGCGGAGCGTGTGCAAGTAAGCGCTGCTGTTCTGCAGGACAAAATCGCCCCCTGTCAGCTTTCAGTTACCTGCCTCCTCCAACGCTTGCAGAACGAGCCGATGCCATTTGGACCTCGGAAGAAAGTCTTCGTGACAACAAGATGTGTTGCCTGCCACGGCCATGTGCGAATCCGACACACCCAGGTATGCAAGACAGCCACCAGGAGGAAGCGGGGCCCTCGCGCAAGCATGGCTTCCGAGCGGTTGTCTTGCAGGTAGGCATCGGTTAGCCAACCAATCTGCCTTGTCCGAGATGGCAACAAAGCAAGAAGATAGCAGAAAACCTGAGCATTCATGAATCTTGTGCGCCTGTCGTTGGTTGATCCAGGAAGCTGCGGGCCTTGGTGTCGTTCCGAAGGCTTGCTTAATAGTTTTGCCGGCCTGGTTGTCTGCTTTCTGAACACTACGAGGGCAGGCTCCATCCTCTTTAGATGGGACCGTTTTGAGTTTAGGTAACCGTTATAGAAGCGGTTAGGTAGATACAGTAGACCTTGCCAAGCCGTCTTCCGACCTATGTCCGAGGCACAGGCCAGTCCACAAACGGCACTGTGCCCAGCCGCTGTAATGCCGACTGACGACCTGCATGTAAGCTGGCTTCAAGCAAATAGCCCTCCATCAGGCTCAAGCCCGGGGCAGCAGCACTCACAGGCTCTGTCGGTTTTCAGGCATGCCATTCTTGGAAATGCCAGCGTGTGAAACCACAGGCGGTAGCTCAGCAAAACAACAATGACAATACCATCCGTGCTTATGCTGACATACCCGGAACAGCGAGTGATGTATTAAGAGTTCGCACGAGTCCTTGTGAGCGCATCCTTCTTCGCAACGAGCTGCTTGACATGTGCAGGTTGCAACGTCAGCATTTAAACATCTTTGCAGCTTTTTGCAGAAATTGGAAGACTTCCGTCGCCATCTTGACCTGGTCAGGTCATGTGCACCAGCACATACCAGCACAAGGCCGCACGTCACAAGCAGTTCCAAGAAAAGGGTCTCGTTGGAAACGGTTAGGAGGCAACCTGATGCCAGTACCAGTAAGACCGCACCAAGCGACCCTTTCCGGATTCTTGTCTGGATGCCATTCTCGCAGCAGCTTTCGAAAAGCCTTCTGTTTCTCCTGACATCTAACTTTGCAAATGTTACGTGGCGAGCAAGTCCTGCACGCTTGAGCAGCAGCCGCACGTTGGCTACAAGCAAGCTTTCGACTCTCGGCACTCCTGCCCGTCGGTCATCTCTTTGATGTCTTGTATGTGCCTGCAGTCAAATACCGGATAGCAAATGCGTGAAGACTCAAGTGTGACTGAGCCGACCCCATGCTTGGCCCCCACCAATATGCCTTGCTTGCTGCCGAGTTGCTGCATAGCTTCGCGCTTTGCATCCGTCACATCTTCTGGCCTGATCGCCACTGTTTTTTTATAGTTTTGGAAACGATTTCACATCGACTCGGAAACGTTGACTCACCAATAATGGGAACCACGGATGCTGGGAGGCCGATGCGAGTATCGAAACAAGTTTGCTTGGGCCGGTACAGTGGTCTAAACCTACCAACGGTCCAAAGTGTCAGCCAAGTAAGGCTCCGAATGATTCCTCAATTGTTGCTATAGAGATCCGCAATGAGGGCATTGCGCAACAGATCATTGAGCGACATATCATATGCATTTGCAAAACATGAAGCCGGGTCTAGTTTCGGACGGCTTGCATCAACAGCTTTTCTGGGGCTTTCTCAGGGGTTGAGAATATGGAATGCGAGGGGCTGTGCTTTCAGGGTTAAGTGTCAACTGATCAGTTTCATGGTTTCAAGCTTGGGGCATTTGGACACTACCTCTCGGACAGATCCAGGTGATACTGGCTTGCACACTCGCGCAAGGCAGGCATGACCGGAGGGGTCCGAGCTTGCTCTGTTCAGGTGCTGTGTCTGCAAGTTCTATGCAACCCCGAGAGCCGTGGCTGCAGGAGGGGACCGCCTTCTCTGGGCTGAAGTTTTCACGATTCATAAGGTAGGGGGTAGGGGGTGAGGCCTGCCTTTGACTGAAGGATTCTTGCCAATGTGGCCAGCTTTGTGCTTGCTCTGCCGCGAAACTCCGACATAAACATGCACAACAAAGACATTGGCCGAGAGGCTTATCTTGTGCCACAAGCCCACCAGAAGATGAACTGCTGCTTGATGATTTATCGCCTGGCAGCAGTTCGTTTGATTGGCATCAAACGATGGCTGGGCAGCTCGGCATCTAAGCCCAAGGCCGGAACTTCCCGAAGTGAACTTACAAAGAACTACAACAATTGCTGCTGAAGAACGGCCGCGATGTCTGTGATCTCTGTGGCCGCGCTGTCTGTGATGGCTTTGGTCGCGATGTCTTTGATGGCTGTGGCTGCGTCTCTTCGGTCTGCACAGGCTTTTGCTGCGGCTTCTGCTTGGCAGCCGAGCTCGCTCTATAGCAGCAGCAGCTTGACCAACACCCCTGCCAGGTTGGACGCAATCAATTAAGTGGAAGGACACCCCAGACTCAGGCCACAATGCATTAAATTCAGAGCAGTTGGACTCGAGTTGCCAAAAAAACAATTCCTAAGCAAACCCGCAAGCCGGTCTAGTGTTAGGGCCCACTCAAACCACAGTTGTCTTTAATATATCCGCAAGCCGGTCCAAACTCGTACTAGTAGGGCTCGGCTAACCTCACATAACAATACACAGCTGTTTGTCCCAAATCCCGCCTCTGGTGGGCACTCAATGGCTTGACAGCGCCACAGACTGTACAGCGTGCCTTCATTGTCAAATTCTTCCCTCCGCATGGACATATCCAACCCATCCATGCATTTTCTGCATTGTCCTGAGCAGACTACATGCTTGCGGTCGCGGGACCCGCAGCCCACACAAACAGGACGAGATAAGGCTGCAAAGCTGCTCGCTGGGCCATCTTCTCAGCTATTCTGGCCTGGCTGCACCCAAAGCATGCCAAAACGTGTGGCAGAAGCACGGATCGTCACGAATGACTTTGGACAGCTTTCGTCATCGTCCGGAGCCTGCATTGAAGCTTTGGTGTTGGAGCCTTAGCAAGACAAGGCAACACGGAGCATCCTGGTGCGATACCGGCTGAATCTCGGCGAGTCGCCGGAGCTCGAACCTGCACGAAAGGCGCATGACCAGGCGTATGAGCATGAGCTAGCGACTCTTGCGACACGGCCCTGTTCTGCCTGAGGAAGAGCTCGAGCTGGAGCTGGAAATCTTCTCTGCCATGGCTGGGCCCAGGCCAGATCGGCACATGGAAAGGCTAAGGCTGGCTACACCGACGATTTTTCGTGGAAGCTTTCTGATGTGCCGCCTCGCTACCGAGCAGAACAACATTCCTTGACTTGGGCAAGAAGGCTCAGACTTTCGAGTCCATGTTGTGTATATCTGGGGACTGTGAGCTGTAGGCTGGCTCCAGACCCCTGGTAGCGGGGTCTCATTGATGTACAGAGTATGGCTAAAGCTTGGGCACAGAAGCTTCAAGCCAAGTGCAGACTGAAAGCTGCGCGAGCTTGAGAATCAACGGCGTAACTTCTGCCTCTAGACAGCAAAGAGCTGCTGCTACGGCACAATGCCTCCACTACATCGCCAAGCTTGAGGTTCAACAGTCCTCGCCAAAGCAACTGTTCCCGCCAGCAGCCATTAAGAAATTCGTCGGCAAATCAGAAAGGTTGTCGTAAACCCGCCTTCTGCATCACCAACTTCATGATCTGCGAGGCAGGGCAGTGACGTACTTTTTTTGCGTCGGGGCTCCATGGATTAGCCGGATTAGCAGCTACGTACTTGCATATGGTCATGTCTGCCTGCGATCAGCTGGGCCAACTCCGCTATTCGATCCGCTGGCAACCAGCCCGGCGTCTTGTCGCCAATGCGGCGACAGTACGCCCAGCCTGAAGGAAATTCTACTAAGAGGAGGCGGCCACATTCGTCCGGTCTGGCCTCCCATCTCACGGACCAAAATTTCCTGAGCGAAAGACTTACGCAATCCTGGTCGCACACGGTTGATTTGTAAGGGACTATCTGGAGTAGACACTAGGACAGCAAAAGCCTGCTCTGCCGATCTTAAACTGCAACCTCAACGATAATCAACCGGTTGGGCAGGTGTAACATGGGCTGGAGCAATTGCAACTTGGCTGCTATCTCCTGCCCTTCTCTCGCCTTGGTCAGACGGGGACTCCGTGCTCTGGATTCTGAACATGTTCCCTCGAAGCCCCGAAGCTCATGCAGTCAGCATGCAACGTACGCTTGCAGCATGTTCTTACAACGAAAGGCCGCGAACCTACCACCAGATTCTACTACATCCATCGCCACCCTGCGTCTTCTTTGACAGGATGCTCGCTACTTTCTGCGGAAGCTGGACTCCAAGGTGGCAAGTTCACAAGCCCACTCATATAGACACAAACACTAAGACATGCATTCCCGCAGTGCAGACATGCAGCGAGACAGTCAGGCAGGAAGACACAACAATGAACTGGACGGACAAGACAAGGATTGAAAAAGCAACACCAGCACACTGGCCGAAAAAATCGAAACATACGACTGACATTGCTGTTTCGAAGAGAAGGGAGAGTGTGAAGTCTCAAGACGCACACGCTACCGCTACGAAGTCTCTCGGAAGATCTTTGCCACCTTCTGGGCACACGGCTTCGAGCAAAGGGACTTCTGGAGTGGAGCTTTCTGGCTCGTAGCCGACCTTGCGAGCTTGAAAACCGGCTTTTCGAACTATGGCTGCTGGGTGCTCCCAAGACACCGTGACCACGCCGTTGACTCTGACGGGCTGCTCTTCCAGAATGCCCAGCCTCAAGCAGAGCCGAACACATGTCCGGTGTGTCTCGGCACACCGAGCACGCAGAAAAGCCATTGAAGTCAAAAGTCTTCGAGTTTTCGATTTCCGCGACTTGGGCTTGCAGCTGCGCGCTGTAGTCCTCCGAGGCTGCAGGCAGAAGCAGCTTTCCAACTGCAGTTGTTTTCACATGCGCAAGACTTTTTCTGCCTCGGCTTTCGCGCGAATGCCCACCTGGCAACTTGTAAAGTTAGCACAAAAAACGAGCAGAGAGCGCTTTGTTATATCGTCTCCAAAAGAAACCCTCTGCCCCCTTGGGAAGAAAGAGCGCCGCGGTTTAAATAAGCGCTTCTTATAAGCTTCAATTAAGAGGAGTCACCAGGGCCAGGGAATCCCGGGACAGGGAAGCGCGGTTTGCGGAGCGGAGCCGAGGAGTTCCAAGAAGCTCAGCCGAAGCTTGTCAAAGGAATAGACATGAATAGAAAATCTATCTGCTTCCCAGCTTGCAAGCAGGTGGCGATTCTTTGGGCGATCGCTTCGATGAGCTGGTTCGTCTCTTCATCATCTTCCGGTAATCTTTCTTCCTGCACGCGCACAAGACTCATCCTCTACGACCCTTGTACCGGCGAACTTCGTGAAGGATGTCCTGATCGTTCTTTGCTGGGTCCGGCTTTTTGCTTGCAAAACAGCCCATGGCAAAGACTATGAGTGGAAACTTATTGACAAGTGACTGTTGAGGCCTGACTGTCCATGACTGGTGCGAATATGCGCGAATGGAATGAAGCATGGTGACTGCACTGATGACGGTGCTTTAACTTAGTCGAAAGTTGTTATGCAGAGTTGCCAGCACACTATCAACTACACCGGCAGAGGTGGCAGGGCCGCCAGCAGCTAGCCTCAGTTTGTCAGCAATCTGGCAACGGCGCATGGCCGGCAGTCATGCTTGCTACGAAGATCTTATCTTACGCCAAGGCGCCCATAAACCTGTCAAAGTGGCTCCGAAGCTGGCGCTTTGCGACCGGCTTGGGCCAACACTGCAGCGGAACAATGCCGGCAACACGGGATGCGTCCGAGCTTGCTGCCGAGCAGTCACTCCTCGACACGGCGAGAAGCTTCCTTTCTGACACTGCCTGGTTCCCCTGCGCTGGGGCCGTGAAATCAAACATCGCGTCTCTGCTTCGTCCGATGCAGGCCGGGCCGATCGAATGCTGTCAGCGCATCGCCGGCTGCACGCTCTGACTCTCCAGGCAGCGTCGTGATCGTGTTCTTGGCGGCGTTCGCCTGTTTTGCGGTCGTCTCTGGCAGCGACGACACAGGGTCTTTCCTGCACGCTGTCACTCATGCAAGACCGTTTTTGCTGAGCGTCTTAGGGGGCAGTAGGTCCCCTTGGCCCCGAACAGAAAGGTGATGTTGATCCGCCTTGACGATACGCCCAACTTTTTGAAAGCCAGTCGCTGGGTGCTATGTATGCGGGCAGAATCGAAAACGACAGCCCTGTTCTGTCGATACGGCACGGTGATGTTTGCATACTCTGACTCGCCAAGCAGGTCCGACAAGAGGCGGTTTTTGTCAGAATCCATCTGGTTGAACGACTCAAAGGACGAACTGTGCTCATCCACAGAGGCATCGAAGATTACAAGTCCGCCGCTGGAATTGTCGAGATTAACTTCATCTGGCGTAATCCACAGATTTACGTTCACTGCGGCAGCATCTGCATGCAGGTCGATTCCGGTTTCAGACTCATCATCATACTTAAATGCCCACACATTTGCCAGCGGCAGGTCGCACAGAACATCGGCAAGCAAGCCCCGCAATTCTTCTGCGATCTGCGAGAGCAGCGGCGACGCAAAGCCCGTGCTAAACCCGGCACCCAGATAGTGCGGTCGCTCCTGGTACCAGATGGTCGACAGCTCGGCAAAGCTCCGCAGCTGCAGTAAGGCATCCTGTGTCAGGAGGTCGTCAACAACTAGCACACCCCCGGTTGCCAGAAATCCACCGGCTCGGCTTGAGCGCTTCGAGGGTGGAGCTTGGCTATGCAATAGCCGAATTTGAAGCTCTGGATATGGAGTCAATGCTGGTAGCGCAAGGCGCGGGCTCGGATGAACGTAGAGTCGGCGATTGTGGAACGGATACAGACTGTGCCAGTGCTCGTCAGTCGGACGGAGAAACCCACCCTCCACACGTTCTGCTGCACCGAGCACACGATCATAGGCCACTAGTGCACCTTGAGCGATTGCATTTGATATCAGATTTTTGCTTCGTAGCAATTCAATTAGAAGCTTGTCATGTCTCAATCTGTGCTCGTACACAAGACCCAACAGACCAACATTGCTGTCAGTTGGGCGAATTTCTCCACACGGAAAGAATCCGTGTGATGGCATGTGGACAGCAAGGAGCTCCGGCTCCTCCTCGCTCAAGAACATGAAGGGCGGGTGAAATCGAATCATGGAATATGCCTCCCAGCCATCAAAGGCCTCAGCCAAGCCTGTTGAACTTGGCGGTGAGGCGTGCGCCCATGTGCCATTATGGCCCCAGTGCAGAACGTTTGAATCACCAGCACGAGGCAGCACAAATGCCAGCGTTGATGCGGCAGCGAGCTCTCGAAGCAGGTACCGGCTCTTGGGGAATCGTGACAAAACAGTCACAAAATGAAGACGAGCTTCTTCTGGGGCCCTGTGTGTAAGCAGAAGGTCCCAACCTAGATGGAGCTGTTTCAGAATCTGCTCTCCCGGACTCACCTTGCTGAAGTCTTCAGTCAAGGTCCGCAAAGACTCCTCCCAGGCACATTTCTAGGGGAAGAGCACTTCCACCGCAAGAGTGCATTGCAAGTTGTTTCTCGACTTCTCTTTGGAAGGGATGGATGGGGGACACCTATCTGCAACAGGTCGGGTCGCAGGTTGGGCGGTTAAATTGTTGGTTAAGTTTGTTCGGGTGACTTTTCTTACCCGTGAGACCAAGGTTCTTTGAAGGGCTCGGGCTCCAAGACAAAGCAAGTCTAACTTCGGACCCGAATTTGCTACCGAAACTCCAGCAATTTGTTCATTTGTTTCGGTAGCAGCGGGCCAGAGGTCCGAGCTTGCAGAACGTGCTTTAACTTGTCTTGCATGCATGAGCTCTGAATTGCTTTTACGACTTTGCTTGTCTGATGCCTTGCCCCTCACCAGCCCTTTGTGATCAATGACTACAGGGCAATAGCAGAATATCAGGCTCGGCTTTGACCTGGAGGAGTCGTTGCCAGGGATTACAAATCTGATGACGACAAGGCGGTGAGAGTCGAAGGCGCATTTGTTACTTGCTCGTCTCTTGTCTGAACAAGCCGCAGCCAAGCTTGCCCCATCAAATCTGCTAGCTAGCCGATGCTCTCCGATGATGATGTGCTGGAGAACATCCCTAGAGAGAAGCTTTCCAGCTAAGCACTGTATTGGACTCGGAAACTGCCAACGAATGACTGCAACAACTCGCCCGCTCTCTAAGCGTGATGCGACCGCACTTTGGCTCGTGCTAGGAAAAAAGCCAGCTGTGCAAACGCAGCCTTGCAGCAACGATGCGACTTTCAGTGGCAAGCGCAACTGCATGCCTCGCAATTTCATACGGTCCTGTATGTCTGTCAACTCCCCCTGCTGGCAGCCACCTGCCAACGCACAGCGGGCAATCTATGCAGCTGGATGCAACAGGGTAGCTTCTCTGCCTGCACCAACTGACTGGAGATGGTGGCAGGTAGCTTCAGCCAGCGCAGAAACGGAGTCGCCATCACGAATAAGTATCCTGTTGCCGGGGCACACCATGAAGACCCACATCCTGGCCCGGTGAAACATCTACAAAAACCTGTGGCCGAGTGATGTCACTAGGAGTGACATCGGCCACCACTGCAATCTTCCCGCACATCTGCCCAAAGACATGTGCACCCGTCCTGGCAGATGCGTTGGCCTGAAGAAGCCCGGGTAGAACACAGGCTACAGTCGGTCAAGTCAATACAGGCCATTGCAAAGCCAGCAGCTGCGCATAGGCCTTCTGCACTGTCGTCGATGCGATGATTGGAGCTCTGACATTGACCACTGCAGCAGCGCCCCCATCGACACAAAGACCTTTGCGGGAAGCTAGGGCAGCTAGGGTCTTCGGGCTTGCAAAGACTTACAGCGACACGGCAGGAATGACGCCTTCCAACACAAGGAGTGCCAAAGTTCTCCGGGCTTGCATCAACATGAGGCCGGACAGCCGCCGCCGCTGGCAGGGCTTTTAGGCTGTAGAGTTGGTTTGCTGCATGGTGGCATCAACATGCACGCCACAAGGGCCATGGCATTCGGGATGTGAAAGTTCCATCGGGCTGAAGCAGTTCCGCAGCACGAGTTTACTGGAAACTGAGCCACACCTCGAACTTCGCAGCGTTTTTGTCTATGAATTCACAAACACAATTTCCACGACAGAATGCACACCATCACGGACTAGTACTGTCATGCTTTTGCGAGTCTGCAGCACGTCGCTTGGCCGAGCTGGAGGAAGTCACACGACCAACGAAGTCAGCAGCACGAAAGCCTTATTTCAAGATTCTTCGTGCACTGAGGCGCAGCATGTAAGATTACATTATATTGCATTTACTGAGACCAGCTGCCGCGATGAGGGTGTCCGAGACGGGCTCCCTGAATTGCAAAGCCAGAACGGATCTCGCAGCCATTTTCTGCAACACCCCAAGGCTCTGACACTGCATCGCTAATGGCAACCCTTACGCAATGGGAAAGTGGCATTTTCAGGGAGGTCGCCGGCTCCTTCCAGGTTTAAGGCAGGCACGCTTGTTGCGGTCGCCGAGTGGTGCTCGAAGCATTAACCTCCCAAGGCCAGAGCACGTGCTGCAAACGACCGCTATAAGGGGCAAGATGGTGCAAAAACGACGCTGCCTCAAACAGAGATGTCGTTGACTCTGTGGACTGGCGAGGAGTGGCTTCAGTATCAACTCGAAAGCTCGTGATACGAAGTGGCAAAATGCTTTTTGGAGTGCCGGCTCTTGAAAGCTTGTTTAAGCTTTACCCCTCGAGGGAGGATCAGACGATCTGCAAAACCTCTTGGCACTTGGCGCAGCTTTATCAAAAGCATCTCAATCGTCAGCGAAATCTCACTCTACTCTACTGAGCCTACTGCCTGCTAGCCAGGACACCGTCTCGAACGGCCAAGGCGGAAAACAAAAGGAAGCTACAAGCGCTGAGCCCTAGCACCAGCCTTTCGCTCAGTTTGCTACCCTCCAACAATGAAGCCGCAAGGACTGCAGAGAGGGTCAGGACCTGGGTCGTCTGCATGCAAAACGTGCACTCGGGCGCTGGGCGTCTCTTAGCACAACTCACCCCATGCATTCAGGAAAACAAGACCATGAGCCGGGCGGCAAGGAATGCAATCATTGAGCCGATGCAGACTGGAATCCAGGGCGCCGAAGAGTGGAGTGTCACCATTGCCACCTGCGTCCTGTCGCCCCATTCAGCCACGAAGACTGCGATGAAGACCCGCAGAACAATATCCTGCGCACCGTATCAAGTTGAGAAAGCCTGTTAACCGCCGACATGTGGAGGCCAATTGCTGACTACAGCCCCGCTGCAAGAAGGTGCTACCACATTGGTGGCAACATGTGGCAACCCTGTAGTCACAAAACTTGGCCCCAACCAACCTTCAATCGAGCTCGGTCCTTCCAAGCCTGCTCTGTTTTCCCACCTGAGCACCACTAGCTGTCTGGGCTTGAATTTGTCCCACACTCTGCAGCATTCGTCGCTTGCATACTGAGCAGTCTCTCGTCACTCTAGTCTCCGGCCGCCTTGATCTTGCAATGCCTCCTTGGCTTCGCCTGTTCGCTCCTGAATGACATCATCATCACTCCCTGCTCGGAGAAACTCAGTGAGATAGGCGAGAGCCTCAGATAGCTGCCCGGCGGAAACTTCTGGGTGGTTGGCGCAAATCCCAAGTGCCCAATGTTCGTGCGCACATCCCAAGTGTGCAGTGAATGGGGGCTGGCCCCATGAGGGTTGACATGTACTTTGATTTTATCCAAGCAACCAAAAGCAAAAAGACGGTGGCCGTGGTAAAGCAAAGTACTGTGACCGAGAACAGCTGAGCAATGGCCACACCCAGTGCTGCTGCCAACAGCACGTGCACGACTAAGGCCACATACGCACCAATGAAAGCACGGCTTTTGCCGTAATTCATGGCCTTGGATTTTGGTCATGAGCGATGCAGGTCTCTCGAAACCAGAAACGGCAAATGTCTTTCTTTGGTACGTCGACGTTGCCGAATCACAATGCGACCCTCGTACTCCTCTCATTCAACCAAACTGGCTACACTCGCTCTTCCTCTTCTTTCCGGTGTTTAAACGGTTCGCAGCGACCCCTTCGCACCGCGCCCAGCGGTCCTTGCCGCACGGGTGTGACACTGACAAAGCGGCCTCGACATAGCCAGCCCCGGTATAGGACCGACAAACCATGAAACCCGGCCCTGTTTGCTTCGCATCCCTCGCCGTGGGGAACGCCAACCACATCTTTTGTGATCAGCTGAAGCATCGAATTGCTGCCCCCGTGCTCAAATTTCGGAGCTCCCCGGTTCTTACAGCCGGTGCATTCTTTATCATTCTTTCATCGGATGGAGCGAGTGGGACAGCTCTCGAAACAGCGTGCAATCCAAAAACTCCGAACCGTGCCTCGCCTTGTAGCTTGCTCGTGAATGTTGGTCTGTAGGAGAACGAACTCCTTACCTCTCCGTCCGTCGCTTCACATGTAATGCTTGCAAGTCTTGTTGCGCTCATAACCAAGGGCCGGCTTGCTCGCAGTTGCACTGCCTACAACGAATGGACATACCATAGCCAACCGGCTCATGCGAAGCATGAATACCTGGCGCCCAAGGGAGCAAGGCAAGCGCATGACCAGCAGCAATGTGGCACGGCGCCAGCTAGCCTTCAATAAGAGACCGCAGCGTAAACACCACAGCTGACTGACGACCCTGTTTGGACTGTCGTCCCAAAGTCCATTGCGTTTGGGCCAGGCTCTCCATTGGGGCAGCTTCTCGTCCTACAGTCCTCCTTGTGGTGGTTCCCCCAATGGTTCTCCCATCTGAGGTGGTCTTCTCCTCCTCTTTCGCGGCGGTCTCTCCGCTTGCGTTTGCTTGTGTTGCCACCCGCTGGTGCACCGGTCGTGTTGGTGTCCTCAATCTTGATGCTTCTTGCTGGTGGACATGCCCTTCGCCTTCACGTTGTACTCGCACAGCGGCTCCTGCTGCGCTGGCCGGTCCCCCTGAATGCCTCCCACCTTTCGACATCGGCTTCTCCTCTCACTTGCTCGCTGAATTCATCGTCGGTCTCGGCATCTCGGAGGTTGGTCCTCTTTAGTGTTGGTCGAAGACCTCAAGGACGACGTTCAAAAGAACAAAGAACCGGACGTGCACTTGGCTTCTTTTGGTTTAGTGGGTTTCGGTATGGCCTTGCCCGCCTGCATGTGGGTTGTAAGGAGCTCGTCTTCGTTGGCTTGGCCGGCTTGCGGTACTCTTCGTTCTCCGTTCTTTGACTTTTGTTGAGTTTGGTGTTTTACCATATCCTTGTACGTAGTGTCCTCGCGCTTCTTGCCTTCGAGGTCTCGGCCCTCTCCGTTGTTTCCGGGTGTTTCCCGGTTTCAAACAGAAGGCACTCTGGTTGTGCCCACGGTGCTTCAAGTGTCATAGGTGGCCCAATGTGGCATCTTGGGCACAAGGATGCACAAGGCGTGTCTCTTCGCCTCCACGCACCTTGGAGCTGGTGTCCGCCATTCTGGTACTTCTGCTGGCTCATTGGGGATTCCCCCTTGCGGCCCGCAGTTGTGTGCATACTTCGCCTTCTTGGTGTCCTTGCCACCGTTACCATCGCTGGGTTCACGGTGTCCCTCGTCCATCCTCGCTCGTGATCTGCGTCTTTGTGTCCCCGGCTCTTACCGGGTTTTTGCACCTGCGGCGAACAGACGGATCTGCATGTGCCTTGGGGATGTAGGCCTTCGGGCCAACGGGCAAGCAAGCAAGATAAGAGAGCGGGATCAGGTGGTTATGCTGCAGCGGCACCACGATCAGGCCACCTCCGCGTTCAAGGCTGCGGGCTGGCAGTGGGGAGCGGGTGACGCCTGGACCACGAGGCATGGCAGTTTCGGGCTGGCACTGTGAACATTGCAGGCCTCCGCAGACAGCTTCGTCTCGCCTGGGCCCGCAAGTTGCTTCTGGCGGACCCGAAGACAAAGGAGGAGGGCCGCTTCCCTGGAGACTTCGACCTGGCCCACCACTTCGCTGTTGGCTCCCACGTTGAGGACTACAAGTTACAACGCGAGGGTCACGGCTGGAGCGGCTGCCGATGCTCGGCGTCTGACCAAGAATGGCGAGGACGTGGGGCGGTGGAGGTGCATTTGTGGCTTCGCTGGTCCTACCCGCACCCACCAAACATTTCAATGCCCTTCACCCTTGGCGTGCGTGGACTTTGCATGCGCTCTCTTCGCTGGAGCAGCGTCTTTTGCTGGTGTTGGGGGCCTGCTGCAGCGGCCTGCTCCTCCTCACTGGCCTGTGGCGTCCTACAATGGGGAGACCCGCAGAGCGGCAGGGCATTTGGAGCAGCTGACGAAGGACGAGGTGCACTACGTGGCGACAGATCGGGGCTGTCTTCTGGCTCGCGCGGTGCGGACTTTCAGCAGCGCGCCGCTTGGGCAGTCTTTTTTGGTGGCGCAACCTTCAGTGGACTGGTAGGGCCCAGAGCAGACGGCTGCTGAGGGCGAAAAGGTGGCGGTCTACGTCTTGGCTGCTGCTCTACTCCTTCAAAACCGGCGCCTACCTTCCAGGCCGTGGCTGGCAGACTTCGTTGCACGCACTTGTGAGAATTGCGATCCGCGGTGGCTCTGGCGGGCTGTTGCTGAGGCCGTGCCTTGGTTGGAAACCTCCTTCCCATCAGAAGTGCCCACTTTGGAAGGCACCCGAAGGCTGATGCAGCGCAGCTGCTTGCAGAAGGCTGAATTCTTTGGCCGATGAAGCTGCTTCTCGTGAGCTGGCGCCGTACCGTGCGGCTGTAGCTGCCGTGTAGCTGCGCATGAGAAGGATGCTTCGGACAGGAGCTGCTGTCGCCACGCAGATGGCGGTTACGCAGGAGTACCAGTTTTGGGGCTCCCGCGTTGCAGTGTCGAGCACGACTCTGCTGAGGTTGAGCTGGTGCGCTCGCTGCCTCGCAGACCGAGCGGGCGTGGGAGAAGGGCTGCGGCCTGATCTACATGCAATTTGGGGCGGTGTCTGGCGTCTAGACTCTAGACGGTCTTCAGGCTTCCAGTCTGTCGTCGTGCTTCGTCAACAGCAACAACAACAACAGCAGGTGGTTCTATTGCCCAACAGTGGTGAATCCTGGAATTGGCCGAGAGGTGGCCCAGCTGTACGGAAGGCATGAAAAAAACACCAACCGGCAAGGCAAGGCAGCATGCTACCCTGCGCCTGCAGTTTTTCCTCGCATGCTGTCACATGCGCTTCCGGCTGGTCGTGTAGGTGCCGACGGCCTGGCCGCCGATCCCCCTACTGTTCTCGTGCTTCACGGTCTCCGCCTGCTTTGCTGGGGACTTCGCGGCCGCGAAAATCGAACTCGGTTGCCTCGTCGGGTCGTCTTGCTTCACACCTCCAAGCCAAAGACAACACATCGGCTGCTCCCCCCACATAAGGCCCCCAACAGCGCATTGCGGGCTGTCGCCGCTGCGAGTCGCCTGACGATCTGACTGGGACTTTTCCTCCGCGCAGTTGTTAAACTGGGCGGCCGGAGAAAAAAAACTCGCAGACAAAATAGAGCGTGGAGTTAGAAGGCTTCCGATGCTCGTCACATAGAGCTGGTTACGTTGAGCCAGACGTAATTGTCCACGATGAAACAACCGTGCTGAGCGATATCTGTTGCTGGCGGCCTTGAGTCGATCGATGCGAACAGTTTTGCAGCTCGAAGGCCTGATAAGAGGCAAATGCAATCTTATGGTCGTGGGGATGACAAAGCTCGAGGACCCATCCTTCACATGTCTTATGCTGGCGTTTGCGCAACCAGCTCACAGCGGCCCTTTGCGCAAACTCGCACGGTGATCTGGAATTTCTCTGGATGAAAAGTCGTGCTGTATTCTGGACGACCTGTATCATCGCAGCTGCAAGCCGGCCCAACGTCGGGTTTGGCTCAAGGAACTCCTCCCACATGCAACTCTCCCTGTGCAGTGGAGTGTTTGTTGGATGCCATGGTTGCACATGGCAACCAGCACCCTATTTTGGTACACAGACTGGTGGAACACCAAACGACGCCGCCGACGGACGAGACGCCGGGACGCCCAGGCCCAGCACCCGCGTCGGGCCCACTCCAAGACTTGAGCACACTTGAGCCGTCGTCGGGTCGGAGATGACTGTTGCACCCGCCAGTGGGTTGGGGTTCAGCTCTGTCTCTCTCCCTCTGTGCCTGAAGTCCTTGGTACAGTGCCTTTTCGACTTCCCAAAAGCAGAACTAGCACACACCGGCAGGAACACATGTAAACTGAGGCCGAGATCGTGGAAATGCTGCCTACATCCAAATGCCATCAAGGTGCACAAATCAAAGCAACGAACCAAGTTTTGTCGAACAGCTCCGCAACTGCAACCACGGAAAAAGAGCGGAGCACGACGTTGAAGTCATCAGAAAGTGACCGGTACATGGTGCTTGTCTTCGCTGGCTTCTGCTGCTGACTGGCTGCGAGCGTGAGGCGGCTTGACGAATCTACTGCAAGGGCATCCACGTCCGCTTGCAGGACCGTCAAGCTCGTATTCTGCTCTCGCACATGGGCCAAATTGGACAGGCCCTGGCACTGGTCAAGGAATAGAAGGCACGGCACAAAGCGAATCATGGAGAAGGTGCAACCCAGCACCGCATTCACTCTCGGGATGTACGGCTCTACGGTTTCTGAGCTGGACGAGTGGCAGCAGAAGTGTGTTGCAGTGAGCCTCTTATCTTGCTGCTCTGACGACCTGCGCTGCAGCCGCAAGGAGGCCTCGCTGGGCTGATCGTAGATCGTCCACTGGCCTCATCTCGCAACTTGGCCAGGTCCTGCTGGCTGCTCCCTGGGTGTTTCCACTGCACAGCTGAGGTGCGGGCATCCATTTTGATTGGTTCTGGCGGAACTCGGGCAAATGCCTGTTTTCAAAGGATTTCAAGGATGGCAAGAGATGGAAGAGAGTTCCTAGGCGACTGCTCGAAGGCAGGAAAGGAAGAAGCCGACATGGTAGGTCTGATAGTTCTAGATTAGCTTATGTGGCGGCTTTATCCGAGCAAGTGCATACGCAGCAGGAGCAACCCGTGCATGCCCTAGCGCCCTCAAGTCAACACGCGCGTTCTTATGTACTTTCGACATCTGCACAACACTGGCCCTCAGAACGTGCAAGCGATTTCCATGAAGTTATCGTGAAGCGGAAACCGGTGCATGGGCGGCCAGCTTCAGCTGACAATGGATGCAGAATGACAGACGGTGTGGATGCTTGGATCACCCTGGACTGCCGGCGGAGATCCACGCAGGCCGACACACTCCGGCAGTGTTCTTAAATTCATGGATCGGGTATTGAACCCTTGTTTGCATCGGCTTGATGACGCGTGCCACGGACTCTCCCGGTGCCGTTGTGCCTTACACCACAGCAGAGCGTGTGACAGTATCGGACCGCGCGGGTGCCATGCATGCTCTGTGCCACTACACTACAGGAAGTCAGCTCGTGATTTCGATAGCCATGCACAATGCCTCCCGAGCTTCATAGAAGCGGGAATTGCCTCCCTTACATGTGAATTTCTTTCTTATTAACTTATCCCCCACACCTCACCATGAAGCACTGAGACTGCTGCCGAAAGTTCTGCAAAGGCCGCGAATAGTGTCCTTGGTCAGGGGCATCCTTGAACAAGCAGGATCAGCGCCTCTCGTTGTGAGGCTGCCGCGTAGTCGAAGCCCTTGGCTCTCACACGATGAGATGTTACACAAGACTTGTCAGCCGAGCACACCGCTCTGCAGCCTGTGTCCTCAAGCGCAGATGCAAAAATCTTTAGGTAAACTGCTTGGGGCACTGTTTGCTATAAAGTCCTGCTCACAAAGCTCTTCGCATTCCAGCAAGCCAGTGCGCAGGACCTTTGCACAACGCGCGCAACACAGAAATGCGACTTGGTGCGGTCAGGATTTACGCTCTCGCAACTCGGACAAGCCAGACGAGGTCTCGCTCGCAGTCAGTTGCACTTGGCACAGCTTCTCTGCATGCAATGATATGCGATGCATGGTCTCTGCACACACCGGTAGATTTAGGGGTTGAGGTTATAGGGCTTATATAGGGCCTCTAGGGACTCCAGGGCTTAGTTGTTGTTTTATCTGTCGGGCTTCCTGCTACTTGTACATGCGGGCTGCAGGCTTGGCGGCTTGTGGCTTTCGTGTTCAGCGATTGGAAGTTTTGCTCTCAAACCGGCAGTGCAGGATCGATGGGGATCACGGTTTAGACTCTCCTGGATCACGGTTTAGGGTTTGGGCCTCAAGGTTTGAAGCCTGGGGTTTCGAACATAGCTGGAAGAAGAGGGAACGAGGAGAAGAACCCCAATCAGCAACTGGAAGACTCCAACTAAGTGCCGGTCCTGTCGAAGCAGAGCTCCAGATGCCGGCATGCAATGCATACCTCGTAAGTCAGTGTGTATGTGCGGAGATCTTCCCGCGCAACTACTTTTGAGCGCTGGACACTGTTCTATGGCCTATGCAGGAACCTTTCTTACCCCACCTTTAGGGTGCTTCTTGAGGTGTGCCCGGCAGCCTGGACTGTGACCAGCAGATCTTACACTGAAGCCTTAACCCTCCGCGGCATGCAGGCGTTACTTACACCCCCAGCCTAGAAAGCAGCTACAGGTCGAGTGACCGGCTCAGGACGCCAGGACCCACACTTCTCTACGGGACGATTACCCATAATCATGCTCCTTCAAGCTGCGACCTGTAGCGCTCTCTGCGCCGCTTCGGGCCGCCTTACCTCTAGAAAGCGAATTCAAGACACTGATCGTGCCCTTCTTAGGAAATTTTTCTTGACCCGCACAAGACCCAGCAGTAGGACGGAAAGAGCGCTTGCATAATTGGCCTGACACTGCTCGCGGTGTACTCCTTAATTTCAGCCGTGCCTGTACTCTAAGCATAGGCGTGCCGTGCTCGCTCACGGATACAAAGGGCCCCGAGCCCTCAATCGATTTTCGAAACCCCGAAGTCCATGCAACCAGCGTTTGTCTGCCCCCGTCTGCCGCTGTTGCGGCTGTCACTTGGCGAGGCCCAAGTCCCAGGCACCCTAGACCAGTACCAGGGAGCGACTTTACCCCAGACCAGGGCCATGCAGAAACCGTGTCACTCCTACCGTCAGGAAAAATGGCTCCAACATCCTCACAGGCTGTGCCCATTCCACTTGCTTTCTGTACAATGCAGTTTAGCCAACTCCTGTGACTGTCTACGCCGTGGAGTAGCTTCGATGGTGTGTATGTTGGACAGGGAATCTGAATCATGCCGAAAAGCTTCTTATGCGACCTGAAAGTAATCACGGCAACTAGCTGAACATCTTGCCAACACGAGTCCTATCCTGCACACAGAAATTCACGTTGGATCGGATACTGAAACAGATACACAAACACAGTCCAGGAGTCTGGCATCTCGTTGGCGTGTAAGTGCTTTCGACCAGAGGAGCCAGCAGGTCTCTGCCTGAAGCACTTGACTGCATGGTATTGGCAGTTGGCCAGTTGTCAATCTGCACAAGATTCACAGACAAGCATAAACACGAGCACAATTGCGCCGCAACTGAACTGGCAAGGCCACAGCTCCAAGAGAGCAAGAACTGGATGAAACTCTGCGAACAAGACAGAAACAACAGCAAGCAGCATCGAAACAGCACCTACTATGCCACGGAAATAGACGACACGGAGCAAACCTAGGCAGCTGACCCACAAGGATGCAGTTGGTTCTGAGAACCTCGGTCAGGTGCTCCATCATCAAAACTCAGCAACCACTCTCTCTGGCTCCTGAGACTAGACCGGACCTCAAGTTCTTCGTTTGGCTGAGCGCAACTCGGCTCGTCCACACCAGGCTCCTGGCCGCTGGGGGTCATCTTCGGCTCTTCGCTCCGTGTCGAGACGCTGTTGCACTCTCGAGCAACTCTCCGCAAAAAGCCATTTCTGGTACTGCGTGGCCCTTCCATGGCGTCTCAAAGATATGTCTCTGGAGCGTGCTCCGCATTGAAATCTGTCATGCCCCAAGTCTGCAAATGCCGCGTGCCTGATTCAAAATAAAACAGGAACCATGAAGCAATCACTTTGCCGGGCATCTTAACAGCAGGGCGTGCATCTGGATGGGTCAACCCTTATCCGCGAAAACCATCCTTGGTGAGTCGTCATAGCTGTCCCTAAGCAGCTCGAGGTCGACCCGATAGAAGACAAGTGGAATCCCATTGGGCCCACGAAGAAAAGACTCGTTGTGCGATCTGTGCATGTAAGCACCGTGCAAAGCAAGGAACAAAATGCATCGAGAGGAGTCTCTCCATCTGTGGCGCAACTCACCATTCTGTCCCAACTCCTGGTAGGAGTTGGAGGCTCCACAAAAGTGGCACTGGCCAAGGAAACTGGCCATCCCCTACAAGCCAAAAAGTCTGGGGATGCCTAGTTTTCGAACAGGTCCTGAACTATACAGAACGAAAGATCAGGAACCCCGATAAGCGAATTTGGGTTTGTCACCGTCCTTGAAGCTACGATGACATGCGATCCCTCATTCAAGAGATCCCGCGCCAAAGAAAACCTAAACATGTGTTTAGCCAGGCCAGGCTAAGAGTTCTTTCTGGGAAGAACTTCATATTCAAAGAGAGAGCCATTCACGCAAATGCGACTCCAAGCACCGAGTCACCTTGTGTGCAAAAGCTCTTGGTGTGCACAAACGAAGGGACAAACATGCGCCCCTTCAGAGGCACGAACGACTGCAGCAGCAGTGAGAAAAGGCTATGGAAGGGCCACTCTTCCATAAGATTACCAAACAGGGGCCATGTGCAACGTGCCAAGATTGGCTTCTGGCAGAAGGGGCAAGGACTTTATGCATGCATGCTTTCCACTCTGTACCTGCCAGAAACCTCTTGCAACGTTCCCAGTCGGCCCAAACTTCAAGAACGGCATGGTGCAACATGCCCTCAGCGCGCAGCCACCTGCCAGGGAACATCAATAGGATCGAACAGCAAAGCTGCAACCTTCCCCTCTTTGTCCATTCAGAGCCTGTCCAACTTGTCTGACCGAGGTGGCACGTGGGTGGCCTTTTTCGCTGAGTGTCAACGAGAAAATCACCTTGCCAGCACACACGAGGATGCACAGCATCAGCCGCGATGTCCTGGACCTCTCCAACTGATTGCGAAGCCAAGCTACCTTGTCATTCACCTGCTGAATTGCCGAATTATTCGCATGCAGGGCTCAGGAGCTCAGCTGTGCCAGCGGCCGACAATCCCCCAGGCCTGGATTCCCTCAGGGAGGAGAGAGGAGTCCACAAACACATCGCGCTTGTAGTGCACCTGAAATACGCTTTTGCTGCCGCCTACTAGGGCATCTCAATCACCGTCTCAATTTTTAAATAGGCGGCCTTCGTCTCATTGCAAGCGATGAAGCCATATCCATTCTTGGCACCTTGGTTTAAAGCCAACCCCGGGCGAGTGCCTCGTGCTTACACGCCAAACCAGACTGGCCCGCTTCGATAAGCACAAAAGCAGATTCTTGTAGCAAGACAGCCGTCCTATGTCTTGATCTGACTTACAGGAATCGAAGACGAGGTGCTAATTGACTTGAGCTGTCCTTCATGTTCTTGTTTGAGGGCCTGTGCTTCGTCCGAAGGCGCTGCGGCACCTAAGCACCACGGGTGACTGCCGGCCAATCAGGATGACAAGATTCGACGTCTTGCACACGAGTTTCCGAATGAGTGGTTACATGGCCGAACATGAGCGATGAGAGCAGCAGTAAACCGCGAGGTCACTCAAATGCAGTACGTAGTTCCGTAGTTCCGGCTGGGGGAATGCCTGAGGAAGCAACTTGCCGTCGGAGGTGGAGCGGGCGCTGGAGCTGCAGCATTGGGCTGCATGTTGTTGGCACCCACATTACTGACTGGCGCTGGCATGTTCGGATTGATGCCCGGGTTCAGTCCACCGAGACTACCTGAGAGATCTACAAAGACAACGGCACTCACATCTAACGAAGACTGGATTTCAGCAAGAACAAGTCGTTCCAGCCATGCCACTGTGGAAGGCTTGCATTTGCAAAGCTTGCTGGGCCTGGGTGATGAATTGTGCCTGCATGGCTTGCAAAGCTGCCTGCTGAGTGTTCGGGGCATACCCTTGGTTCGCATAGGCGGCCATTGGGGAGACCACTGGATAACCATAGCCATACGGATACGTCCCTTCGCCCTGATATGGCCAAGGCGGGTTGGCAGCAGGCAAGGCGTTGGCAATGTTTGCCGGCTGCTTCGATTTGCCCTTGCCCTTGTCTCCGCCCTTGCCTTCCTTTCCATCCTTGCCCTTGGCACCCTTTCCTCCGGTCGCCTGTGCCTCACGCTCGGCTTTGGTTGTGCCCTGCTGGCGGTCTGACAGAACAACAATCAAGTTTTTTCCTTCAACCTGCTTGTTGTTCATGGCAGAGATGGCTTTGTTGGCATCGGCAATGGAGGTGTAGGTGACGAATCCATAACCACGGCAAGTCCCGTCGGTGTTCTTCTTCACGTCAACTCCAATGAGTTCGCCAAAGGGTTGGAAAAGATTTTGAAGCTGCTCAGTGGTGGCATCCTTCACCAAGTTGCGCACACAAAGCTGGATTCCGGGGAAGGTGCCCTGGCCCTTCTTGCCTCCGCCTTTGCCCTTCTCTCCCTTTGCGGCTTTCTTGGGGGCGGCGGCTTGGGCCTCTGGTGTGATGAGGCCAGGCTGCTGGGGAGGTCCAGGTTGTTGCGGCTTCTTCTTGGGAGCGCCTGCCTTGGCCGATGTCTTTGCCGCAGGCTTCGGCGCTGCCTTTCCCTTCGGCTGCGCTCCCGGCTGCAAAGGCCCTGCGGGTGGAGAGTTTGCAGAGGCTGTTGCTTTTTTGCCCTCTGCAGCCTTTGTATCCTTCTTACCTTCTGAGGTCGTAGGCTTCTCCTCCGCCTTCACGGCTTCAGACTTCTTGGATTCAGCCTTCTGCGGTTCCTCTGCAGGTTGAGACTGTGCTTGCTGAGGTTCTTCCGCTTTTGGCACTTCCTCCACACGCCCGTCCTGACAGTGTGCAACCCGAATGGATGCGACAACACGTTGCAGAATCGTTTTTTGAGACTGCCTTCGCCGGTTCTTGAGCTTCCGCTGATTGCTGGCCGCCCATGTTGGAAAGGATCGGCCTGCCGGAAGCTTCCAAAGAAGCACATGTGTAAAGACAGCCCAGATCGACCAGCAAGAAACCCTTGGTAGCCATATGCCGAGGGGCCGAATGCGAATACCGTTCTCACCCTTCGCGTTGCTCGGGCGAACCCAAAGCACAAAGTGAGCTCAAGCAGCTGCGAAAGCCAAACCATGTTGAAACATAGCTGATGGCATGCAATCCCTTTCAGCAACACAGCAACAACGATGGACAAGCAACATCGGCCTGTAATATGCATTTCACCACTGCGGCCTGGCACGCGCCTGCCAAGCTGTGCCGTCCAGCCACCGGCTGGAACGTCTAAACACGCCAGCAATCACATGCTTTTGAGCCTTATCAAACCCGTCAAAAACCACGTGTCACCAACTTCGGGAAACGATCGTGGAGCTAATTCACGAAACGATCTGGTACCTGGGCATCTTGCGGTCATGCATTGTTCCAACCTCGGAACATGTGCCAAGCAAGTTATGGTAAATTCGGTCGGTCTTGGTGCGCCACAAAGTTACATCTTCGCCGGACACTTGCCTTTGGCGCAGGATGCAATAGCGATTGTTGCACTATTGCATTGTACAGTTCCCGCCTTTGTCGCAACGCATGCAGATCCAGCTGCAAGTCCGACAGCCCGTCACAGACTGCATGACCTGGATTTTGCCAGTGCTGGATGTAGCACGGTCCTGGTACTAAGGGTGTCACACGCCGTGGTCATTTGAAGTGATGTTGAAACCTGAATTGAGCAAGCCACTTCAGTGTGCAACTACACATGGTCCCACTAAGCTGAGCTCGGAGCATTCGCAGTTGTATTTGTTGTGTCATTGTTGCCATTGTGCGGGCCTGCGCCATGTGTGAGTTGACCGGCTCACTGGCAGAGATTGCGGTACTGAGGAGAAAGCTGCTAGCAACATCAGCCAACATTTCTGGCCGGGCAGCATTGCATGGGAAACGAATTCGTGGCGAACAAATTTCAAGCATGACCTCTGGAAGCCTTGTCGCTACGACTACGAACCTCCTGAATCTGGTAAATGGGCTCACGACTGCCACAGCAAACAGGCCTTTGAGCATTGAATCTGCCATGAACTGTCATGCTCCCTCGCATTTTTTGCATTCACTGCACGGTGCCCGTGCAACGTGTCGCCCATGAACGCACCTTGACGGGAATGAGCGACATGCACGTCCTGCACCAACATGTTGGTCACAACCACGTTTGTTTTCTCGCACCGTCTTGCGTCTGCCGAAGAATGGTCGGCTACTTAACGTCCCATGTGCGGAGTGGAAGGGTACTCGGCTCCACCGCATCCAGCACCCACTCGCTGCTTGCGAAGGCGCGGGCGAGGCTCTTCCCGTCGCCGACACCGCCATGGCCCGCTGGGGCGAGTGCCAGGACCTCGTTCGAGCAGGCAGCCGGTCCCGTGCCCGTCCAGGCCCTGCGCCTGGCGGAGTCGCTCCAGCGCTCACCGACCCCGCAACCAAGCACAGAAGAGGGACTGCGCCCCCCCAACGACGAGTCGGGGCACGTGGACTGCTTGCGGCGCTCCGCGGCATGCAGGACGGCTCCATCAGGGGACGCCGCGCCGGCGTGTCTTGTTATCATGCTCGAGCTTGTCGCGGCCTTGCTCCAACCGCACCACACACGAGCCGATGCACGACTGGCAATCGTTTCGGCCGCGAAGCGATCCTCTGTTCAGTGCGTGATTCACCGGCCCCATGCACGTTCATCCAACAAAAAGGCGTGCATATGCGTGCATGCCTTCCTTCGTTTTGGCAGAGATGGGCGTAATTTTTCTGCCTTTCAGCACGTACAAGCCCAACACAAAATATCCGCCGCACTTCGTACCTCAGGGCTTCCTCATCGTACAGAAGAAGACAGTACCATCATGCACCACAGGCGCACCAAAAAAAACAGTCCAAACTGGTCCGCCGAAAAAGAGAAGCACGAGCTTCTTCCGCTTGGACAGATGTCGAAGTGCAGCGAAATCAGCCCAGCCATCGCAGCCGTGGCTTTGCCGAAACGGCGGACAAAATTGCCAAGTACACCGTGGATGACCTGCAATTAGGCAGAGTATCGGAGGAGCTGTATGCCTGGCAACAGTATGCAATTGGCATTGCTTGACAAGTTGCAACTATGATGGTATAATGGTATATCACGGTGTCATCTGCAACAAGTTTGTCCACCGCACAACTCGCCGGCGCAGTGCGTTCGGCTGACTGCAAGCCGAGCCCACCAAAGATGGCCGGTAGGGAAGCGAGCGACCACGCCTGCGCTGCGTTTGCTTGCGGCACTCCGCCCAAGCATTGCTGGAACGCCTCCCAGACAGCCTGGTCGTGTCCGCGTGCGCGCGGCGCGGCTAAGCGCACTGGAGGTCAGGGAGGTGAGGCCGCGCTCCTCGCGGAGGCGCTTGTCACTCCACGCCTGGACGAAGTCGGGGTGCCCCACCGGCGTGCCGAGGACCACGACTCCTCGCTGAGCCGGTGGCTTGTCCCCGCACCACACATCCTCCCCCAGCTCCGCGATCCCCGGTGGCGGCGGGCCGGCCTCCGCAGCGAGGACGTGCATCTTGCCGAGGTTCGATGCGATGCCGCAGTGGTCCTCTACGGCGTGCGCAGCTATGTCGAAAGCCTCCCGCGCACGATCGGGTGTCGTCACGATGTAAAGGTCGTCCAAGAAGGCCAGCAACGTATCGTCTGGGTGCAGGGAGGATGCCGCGCGGTCCAACGCTTCGTGCTGCCCCAATGCACACAGCGAGGGGGCCAAAGCGTCGCCCTGCTCGCAGCCCTCGCCTTGCTGGATTTCCCTGTGGCCCCCGCGGTCGTCCCACCAGCTGTAGACCGATGCATAAAACATGCGGACGAATGGGAGGAGCTCCCGGGCTACATCCCGCAGTTTGGACAGGAAGGCCAACCCGCGACATGCAGTCGTAGGCGCTGC